AGCGCTGCCTTGAGTAACGGGATTAAAACTGATACAAGCTGGAAATGGTCAGATGAAGAGGAAGTCGGTTGGAACACTATCGGGTAAGTTGGAACGTCGGTTATAGATTAAAACCTGTTAAAGATACCGTGTTTTTATCCAAGACCCAACAATTAGTTGTTATCATTTTGTCTGTATTTATATTAATTGTTAACATGCTGTAGTTACTTAGAATACAAATTACCAATTGTTTAGAGCTGTAGTTACTGGGAATACAAATTAACAATAGTTTAGGGGATTGCGAGAAAGTTTTATTTGTCTTCAGTTATATGGCGATTATAAATAATGATAAATAATAATAAAAAAAAAATTATTCCAGTAAAGTAGGTCTTAATTTAGACCCATGGTTACAAAATACAGTAGTGTTTGAAAGAAAAACGAACGTAGTAGGCATATAAATATTTGTGTACATACATAAGGATAATTCTAAATATAGTTTCATCTATAACTTTAATAAAATATGAACTGAACTTAAAAGAGATTTATTTTTAGTTGTTAATAACTCATTGAATATATATCTATTATTGTTCACATTATTAACAAATTTTACAGGTATACATTTACATTTAATATGACTTAATTTGTTATAAACCTGCACCCTTTTTTTTGTTGTGCAAAACATTTCACGAAATAAGAAAAACATGATTGGTGCTGATAAATTTGTTATTGTTATTTTTTCTGTTATTTTTAGAGAAAAAGTACATCGTGGTTGACGTATTTCGTCTAATTAGTAAAATAATATGTACCTGCTCAGACATAATAATTGTGTAGCAATAATATTTTCTGTGAGCTGATAGTGAAAAAACTTCAATCAGTCAGGAGGTAATTGGTAGTTGCCTAGCTAACCGGATGTGGATACTTCGCTTGACACGGTATATACTGAAAGTGGGCGTGACCTCCCTGTGTGTTTGGCCGCCCAAAGCGATCGCCATGTTAGTTCTAGAAACAAGTATTTCGGTTGTTGTAGGCGTTATCTTTAGTTATTTCTGTAGTTTTGTAACCGGAGTTCTGCTTTAATAACAGAATATTAGGTTAAAATTGAACGTGAATAGAATTTATCCTCGCCTTATTATAAACATATCTATTAATCTTGAAACTATTTATTATTCTGTTTATCGCTTGATAATATACTCAGCGAAATTAAAAACTTGACACTCGGGATTTTTGGGACTAGATTTTTAATATTTGGTTTAAGGCAACTATTCTAGTGTTATGTTGTTCACAGACGACCTTGACATCAACAGAAAGCAAGCATACGTCTCGCCGAAAGTCCTTGACATTGATAACGTTCGTGATGTCACAGTACCCCCCAAAATGAAATTCACAGACTTGGAGAACAATCGGAATAAAGTGTTTAGTAACGATTGTGGCCTCCTCTAACGTCTCGTACTGCCACACAACGTCTTCTCATGGATCTCAGAACATTAGTAAACACTACCCGAGGAAGATGTCGCCACTGCTCAGCAAGAGCATGTTGAAGGTCCTGCAACGTCAGTAGTGGATTCACTTGCTGACGAACACGTCGACCCAGTTCGTCCCAGATGTGTTCAATAGGATTAAGGTCGGGGCTAAGCGACGCTCAATCCAGGACTTGGACACTGGCATTTCTTAAAAAATTCTGGGTAGCAATTGCTGTATGGGGTCGAGCATTGTCTTGTTGAAACGTTAGTCCAGGCCCATGTCTCTGCATAAACGGAAGAAGAACAGGTTGCAAAATTTGATCCCTGTACTGGAAAGCATTTAAGTTAACGTGGACAACAACAAGAGGAGAACGTCCATGTGCACAAAGAGAACCCCAAACCATGACGCTGCCGCCACCAAATCGGTCAATTTCTCTGACGCATACTTGAGCGTAACGTTCACCTCGTCTGCGGTACTCTCGGACCCTGCCATCGGCAAATCTCAAAGACAACCCAATCCCTGTGTCTTTGAGTAAATCTTATGTGTCTTGTGGCCCACACAAGTCGGTTACGGCGATGGAGAGGTGTCAATATTGGTCCATTATAGGGCCTCCGAGCTCGAAGACCAGCAGCCTGCAAGCGATTTCGAACAGTTTGTGCAGTTACCCTTCCACCAAACATCTCTCTACTTGTGGAGGTTGCAGTGACAAATCTGTTTCTAAGATGACGTAATCGTATTGCTCGATCTTCCTGGAGTTACGTCACACGTGGCGCTCCCGCACTTGGGCGGTCGGCAATAGTTTCAGTTTGAAGCACTCTCATTCTAACATTAATTATTGTCTGGCGTGAACAATTAAAGGCTCTTGCAACAGTGACCACAGATTGACCAGCATAGAGGCTACCTATAGCACGTAGACGTTCTACATTTGAAAGGCGCGGCATTTTCTAACAAAGATGAAAATAACAATTATAATTTGTTTTTCCAGTTCAAGTTACGTGTGCGTGTTCAGTTTAAGCAAACTTGCATCGATTGACCTCACGAGTTTGTGTTTGCACGTGTTTTTCAGGTATTTCATCTTTATATGCTCAAAAGTCACGTGATCCACGTGGCTTTACAATTTTATGAAATTAAAGGCTTCTTACTACTTACTATCGTTAGAAACACTTTAAAATTTATTTGACTTACCAGAAAAAAAAATTGTTGAAATTCATCAGTGTCAAGTTTTTAATTTGGCTGAGTATATATATCTTAGTGTAACTACACGGCGACTTGGTTGCAGACTAATTTAAGATATTGAGTTTGTGAAAGGCAGTGAATATTAGATATATATAGAGGATATTTGTCGTTTTAGAGTGAATAACATATTTTATTTCATCGAGAAGCAAGAAAACTTATATTTTCACGAATGTGTAGCCTGAGTGAAAATATAAACGTTTTCTTCCTTAGAGATGAAATAAAATATGTTATTCACGACAAAACGACAAATGTTCTATTTATTTTATGATTTTACATTCATTTTAGGTAAAAACAACAATGACTACTTTGTCCGCTTTACATCTTTATCTGCTTCTGGTGTATGAATACCTTTGAGAATGTAACGATCGACAAGTCGGCGTGTCGGCCATATTGTTTTCATAATTTTGTCACTAAAAAGTGTTTCATGGGCGTTTGTGACTGTGTGGATTATTACATTTTTCAGGACATGTTACTTTTACTGATATCGATGTGTTTTTTGAAATACATGTAAGTCAAGCGATGTAAAATCATGCCACGATTCTTGACAACAACACTTACACGAGCTCGACTCAACGACTTGAACTAGTGACCGTGCGTGGTGAGTTGTGACCGTCGCGTAGTTGGGTGTGTTTTGACAACTTTACATTAATTTAGGATTAGGCTAGTGTTTAATTAGGCCTACCATCTATCAGTAACTTTGGTGTGAATACCGTGGACATTTGGCTGGCAAATGAAAAGGGTTTTCTTGAAGCGAGAGCCAGTGCTTTCCGATCCGATGTCAGTTGTCACTAAGCGGGGTAGGCTAGCCTTGTTAGTTGTCATGTGGTTATCACCCCAGGGAGGTAACTCCAGAAAAAAGTAGTCCCGGCGGCCAGTGAAATAACAAGTTTTATTTCACTGCTAGCCAGTGGAATAACACTTTTATTTCACTGCTAGCCAGTGGAATAACACTTTTATTTCACTGATAAAACGCGGTATTCCACTACTGATCATCATAATAATATGTTTTATTCCACGCAAAGCTTGATCCAGATTTGTTTTATAACAACATTGCTATTAGAAAGTATCTCATCTCAATGGTTTAACCCTAGATAAGAGATATTTCGAGATAGATCAATATCTCGACCACTCTCTTTGTAGAATATTTGTCTTACATCAATATTGCAGATTTAACGACACGGCCTGGAGAAATGCTAAGCTGCTACCGTTCTGGATTTGGACGACTGAAGAAACAATTGGTGAGGAGGGCACCATCTATTGTAGAAAGTTCATCAATAGCAAGATAAGTATGTATATAAAAGTAGATTTGTGTGCCATGTGAACTCCCTAGATAGGACATGACACAAGGTGTTCCAGAAAGAAGAACCCCATGTTGATACAAGCTAAAGAGTACAGTACCTTGATATATGGTATGTTTAACGCCCGAATAAACTCAGACATGTTTGTATAGATATGCTGACTCCTTCCGGAACACCTTATGTCACCAGGGATTTGATTTGTCCATCCTATCGCCAGAATTGTCGGTTTTAATTAGATGCTTACCCCATTTGAAACACCTGGAAATCTGTATATCAATGGAGTTGGTTTCTTTATTTGACAGTTTCACTTTCATTTGTTCACATGTGTTCAATTCGTCTACATGACCTTTGTCTTGACTGCTGGTGGTGAAGCTCCCTTCACACATAACGAATATCTCGCTACACGCTTATGACGCGCAAAAATTCTATAGAGCGCTGTAAGGTCGTGGTAAAAAGCGGAAAACCTCATAAGTACCCTAACCCTATCTCCCAATTTTTCACCCTTTGTCACGTTCTTATCATGGTTACACCATGCCCTATTTGACCCCGCTACGCTTTTGAACGTCACCTCTTCGCTGACACGGCGTTCCTATTACACCCTTATAAACCTCATCTCGATTGGCGGTTGTTTGATATGTAGCGGAGGACGTCATGTCTAAACCTAAAAAATAAGCAACTCTGATGGATAGGTGGATACGAGGACAAAATTGGAACATTGCTCCACAGGTTAGTTTTTGCTATTTCGATGTATGTAGAAGAAACAAAGATGGCGGGAGGGGGGGCGTATCCCTTGGAGACCTCCCTCTAGTCACGCGCCTGAATCGAACTCTAAGCCACTACTTGTTTTCTTTGTGGCATTCGATTAGCCCACATCAACGGATCAATGGATAAAATATTAGTTTATAGGGTTCGTTTGTTTGTTGTATTTTAATGTATAAACTTTATATCGATATTTGCAAATCAAATAATCCCTTCTGGTATTTTGTATAAAGTCTATATTTGATTTTTGCAGCCGACCAAAATATAACTGGAAAGGCATACTGCTATAATGGTGTAATGGAATTCTATGCGGATGGTGAACGATATACACATCAATATGATGACATCAAGTATAAGCCGTCAACAATCAACATACCAAGCAGTACAAAACTGGTAGCCATCAGGTGTAAGAATCAGGAAGGGGTGCGTGGCCTTAACGTTGGCTTGAGTAACGGTGTTAGAACTGATACAACCTGGAAATGTTCAGTAGAAGAGGAAGGCGGTTGGAACACTGTCGGGTAAGATGAAACGTCGGCTAATGTTCTATATAGTAGTAATGTCGTAAAACTTAACATATCTCTGCTCATGGTTAGGGCAGCCGTGGTGGCTCATTGAGTACTGTGCTGACTCGCTAGCCGAGAGATCCCAGGTTTTTCTGTGTGGTTTCCCCTTGTCAGTGGTGGAGGGCGAGGTATGGAACAGCATCTAGTTGTTCGCCTGACAGAACATCAGGACGTTAAACACCAAATTGTTTCTCACGAATATGTCTTGTATTATTAATATGTCAGACAGCAAGCCGTCTTGTATTAATATGTCAGATAGCAAGTCGTATTGTATTATTATATTGAACATTTTTCTAATCTCAGTAACATTATTATAGTTTTAACGACAGTGCCTGGAATAACCCAAAACTTCTACTGGTTTCAAATGGTGATTGGATTGGGACGAATGAGAATCCACGACATAGGGGCACCATCTACTGTAGAAAGTCTATATGTAAGTATACTAGGGGTGGCCCTCCTCCACCAAAGTAATATGCGATCTATATGTATATTGTTATATTTATGTGTCAACATAATCCCCCTTGACATCAATCTATATGGATATTGTTATATTTATTCTTTAACATAATCCCCCTTTATATCAATGTACTTGTTATATCGTTTCTCCAGCATATTTAACCCGTCAGAAAACTAGTGTGTCACATGATCCTAACAAGCCTTCCACGACATTGATGACCTCATGATCATCATACGCTCCACATCTGTCAGAGGAAGGAGTCGATCTGGAGAATAGGCTGCGTGAGAGAGGATCTGATTGTCTGTTGAAGTCAGGATCTATTCCCAAACATTGTAAATCGATGGAAGTGCTCCGAAGTATCTGTGGTATCTCTTGAAATTCCCGTCCCATTCTAAATTAGAAAAAGAAAATTGTGTTCCTCAGTGAAAGTTTTAAGTCGTTTCGTGGTCGGGCTTTCTATGTCGCTGCATCTACAAAGTGGAATAAACCACCGTTAAACCGCCACCGAAATTCATCACTTCATTAAATCTATTTAAATCTGACTTATATAATTAGACACTATTGTATTATGCGCCACGAACACGTTTGATAGATTTAGAGTTTTATAAATGGAGGGGGGGGGGGGGGTGGATGGCCGAATGGTTAGCACGTGCGTACTGAATCATAAAGCCTGTCGTTGAGTCAACTGGCGTGTTTCGAATCCTCGGTTGTACGTGACAAGGAGTAGGGTCGCCTGTCCAACTTCGTGGGTTTTATCCGGGTCATCCGGTTTCCTCCCATTGCTAAAGGCCCCTACGCGCACGCGAATTATTGAAATAAAATTAAACCATAATTTAGTCCCGAAATGACCTAGTTTGTGTCGAGTGGACGTTAAACCCCATTTCTATCTCCCTCTTTATAAATGGACATATATGATTTATTATTATTACAGTATTTGGAACAAGTACATCAACCACCACAGTAGTGGAGCCCAGTTCCCAAACCACCACAGTAGTGGAGCCAAGTTTCCCAACCACCACAGTCGTGGAGCCAAGTTTCCCAACCACCAAAGTAGTAGAACTAAGTACTGCAACCACCACAGTAGTGGAGTCATGTTCCCCAACCACCACAGTAGCAGATCCATCTGTCACAACCACCAAAGTAGTAGAGCCGGGTTCCCCAACCACCACAGTAGTAGAGCCATCTTTCACAATCACCACAGTAGTGGAGCCATGTCCCCCAACCACCACAGTACTAGAGCCATCTTTCACAACCACCACAGTAGTGGAGCCATGTCTCCCAACCACCACAGTAGTAGAGCCATCTTTCACAACCACCACTGTAGTGGAGCCATGTCTCCCAACCACGACAGTAATAGAGCCATGTCCCCCAGCGACTACAGTAGTAGAGCCATGTCCCCCAACCACCACTTTAGTGATGCCATGTACACAGACCGCTGAATTTGATCTTCAACCTTCATCAACAGGAATGGCTGTGTTGGGATCTGACGGAGTTTTGAGATCGCATGTATGTCGAGACGTTGTGGTGGTGACATCTGAATCAGCAATGACGGACGAAGCAGTCTCCAGCATCTACAAGGAATTAACCCTCGACAAAAGTAAAATGTCCTCCGTTATTCGAAAGAAAGTCAGTCAGAAAGATGAGAGACCCAGTTCAGCCACTATTGGCTATTTTGGGCTGATCTTCGCTGTCTTGCCATTCACCCTTATAATCATATCTGATATTCCCAAATTGATTAAACATTTGAAAAGAATCATGCGTTCACACTAGACAAAGTCTTTTTCGGGGACAATAACTTGAAAGGTCTCGAGTGTTTTGTGACTTTTAGAGTGTCTCCATTGACACCGTGTTCTTAATTTCGTAATAGTCCGATTTAAAATGATTTAAATTAATGTCTACCGCGCCTTGTTTATCTATCAATATAAATTATTGTATCTAGTATTTAATACGTGTTATAACTGTTTCTTATTGTATCTAGTATCTACCACATGCTATAAATTGTTCTTATTGCATTGTATCTAGTATTCACCACTTGTTATAATTGTTCTTATCGCATTGTATCTAGTATGTATCCCGTGTTATACATACATGTAGTTCTTATCTTATTGCATCTAGTATTTACCACGTGTTATAAATTGTTCTTGTCTTATTATATCTAGTATTTACCACGTATTATAAATGGTTCTTATCTCATTGTACCTAGTATTATTTACCACGTGCTATAAACACTTCTTATCTTATTGCATCTAGTATTTACGTGTTATAAATTGTTCTTATCTTATTTTATTTAGTATTTACCACGTATTATAAACTGTTCTTATCTCATTGTTCTGATTCTGTATCTAATATTTACCACGTCTTATAAATTGTTCTAATCTTATTATATCTAGTATTTACCACGTGTTATTAATAGTTCTCATCTAGTATTTACTTGCTAATTGCTCTGTACTTATATTATAATTGTTTATATTATATATTATAAACCGTTCTTATCTTATAACTGTATATAATATAATACATGTTTTCATCTGATTTTATAACTGTGGATATTATATATATTATATACTATAAATTGTTCTTATCTTATAACTTTTTATATTATAGATGTTTTTATCTTTTAAATTGTTCTTATCTTATAACTTTTTATATTATAGATGTTTTTATCTTTTAAATTGTTCTTATCTTATAACTGTATATAATATAATACATATTTTTATCTTATTGTATCTATTTAACATATTCTGTATATATTATATACTATAAATTGTTCTTATCTTATAACTTTTTATATTATAGATGTTTTTATCTTTTAAATTGTTCTTTTTATTACAACTGTATATAACATAATACATATTTTTATCTTATTGTATCTATTTAACATATTCTGTATATATTATATACTATAAATTGTTCTTATCTTATAACTTTTTATATTATAGATGTTTTTATCTTATAAATTGTTCTTATTTTATAACTGTTTATATTATAAATTATTCTTATATTATAAACTCTTCTTATCTTTTAACTGTTTATATTATATATTACTAGCAGGATACCCGGCTTCGCTCGGGGTCATAACTCCGAAACCGGAAGTGGTAGACTAACGCCACCTGGCCTATGTGACTCCCCGGTCCGAGCTACCCCTATACCCCAAATTTCAGACTCGGGGCAGACCTAGCCGCCAACCCCGAACAGACAGACTTCGCTCGGGGGTCATAACTCCGAAACCGGAAGTGGTAGACAAACGCCACCTGGCCTATGTGACTCCCCGGTCCGAGCTACCCCTATACCCCAAATTTCAGACTCGGGGCAGACCTAGCCGCCAACCCCGAACAGACAGACTTCGCTCGGGGGTCATAACTCCGAAACCGGAAGTGGTAGACAAACGCCACCTGGCCTATGTTACTCCCCGGTCCGAGCTACCCCTATACCCTAAATTTCAGACTCGGGGCAGACCTAGTGTAGCCGCCAACCCCGAACAGACCGGCTTCGCTCGGGGGTCATAACTCCGAAACCGGAAGTGGTAGACTAACGCCACCTGGCCTATGTTACTCCCCGGTCCGAGCTGCCCCTATACCCCAAATTTCAGACTTGGGGAAGACGTAGTGTAGCCGCCAACCCCAAACAGACCGGCTTCGCTCGGGGGTCATAACTCCAAAACCGGAATTGGTAGACTAACGCCACCTGGCCTATGTTACTCCCCGGTCTGAGCTACCCCTATACCCCAAATTTCAGACTCGGGGCAGACCTAGTGTAGCCGCCAACCCCGAACAGACAGACAGACAGACAGACAAACGACAGTCACAAATATATATATAGATAGATAAATTGACGTTATCGCTTAAACTAATAGCATAAGTTTTGCTTAACTGAGAGTAGAGTCTCCTGTTCAAGTTTTGGGTTCATTTTACGGTATCGCCGGCTTAATTTCTGTCGATTGGATGTTACCAGAGAGAAGGAGAGGGGGGGGGGAGGTGGGGTGTTATTGTCCATTAGCCATAAATTAAGTCATTGGGTCTCTTGCGGGTAGAGTTTTGGGCAGTGCGATTAAACCGGAGGACCCTAGGCGACTCTACTTCTTGTCACGTACAAGCGGAGCATCGAAGTCACGCCACGCCACTTAACTCAATGACAGACTTTACGATCTAACGCGCAAATGTTAAACTATTCGCCCACCCCCTTTTTAATTTAAGAACTTTTAAGTTGAAATGTTTATTTGCCGTGACGACGAATCCTTATTGATTTTCTGCATTCCGCGAGTTACACACCTTGTCCCTCTAAATTTTGAACGCGACAGAGGCTATAGTTTTTACCCGATCTTTCGTAAATTTGGTGTGAAGCATATTTGGTTATTAAACGATTTTCTGCATTCTGTGACCTGTCCTGGAGTTATTCCGGGCATTCCAGAACTTAGCGTCCTCAAGTTAACACACCGTTTGTGTTAACCCTGTAAACGCGATATCAGTTTCCGCTTTGAACGTATATGGCCACAAATCACTAATGATTTCCCCATTGACTTTAATGTTAATTCTCGTCTCTTATAGACCGGTTCTAACTTTTAATCAAAATTGTATGACAATTGAAATCCCGGATTCAAAGATGTTTTGTGCCCATTTCAACGACAAATCAATTTCAACTTTAATATCAGGACATTGTCTTAGTTAATGACAACTATCTGCGAATTAAACTAAATAGACGAACTACTGTAGTACTATCAGATGTTTAATCTTCAATATTCAATCTTCACACTGTTTTCTTCCGTGACGAAGTTACAACCACAGTTCAGGTTTTTTCTTAAATACTTTATTTCTACAAATTCTTCCTAGTCTCAAATAACTAAATGACTGGTATGACCGGCGGAGTGAGCTCAGCCGAATGCTATTTCCACACCCTATTTTATAGGTGCCTATTCCTTTGTCTGAGTAGTAAGTTCTAAATATGGAAAGGACATGCACCCCAAACTGAACATCGCCAGGGATTGTTACCTTTTTTGGTCAACAAATATGATATATGTTTTTATAACAAAGGAAAATGTATATGACTAACATGCTCATTAATCTATAGTTCAGTTAACGTATCACTATAACCAGCATATACTTTCGATATTTGTGGTTATGAAGTTAGAATCAATAATATGAAAGATAACGCTATTGTTCTAGCCATCATATTTCTACATGTTTGTCTTTAGACCCCATGTCTTGTTATTGTCACAATATTCATAACCAATTTTAATTTGCGTTTCCGAATTAACTTATACCATAGCTAATATTTTGACAATGGAGAATAATTAATCAAAACCCTAATATTATTTTACATAGATGTTTCAAAGCACAAATTCTTTCCCTCCATATTACTACATTACCTCCCCTACTTTTAGGATTTGTGCTACTGATTAGTTTGTAGACTCCTTGAAAACTTTCAATTTTTTTAATTCAACATACATTATAATTATAAAAATATTCATGCAACATGCAAATATTTAGGTTTACTAAACGATTACCATTCAATAAAATCATAAAACAAAGTCATCAAAGACAAACACAAATAATCAAAAAATCAATAATCGCATGCAAATGCTCCCCAAAAGTTCTTCACTGCATGATAAGTTTCTTTAATTTGAATATATAAAATAACTTTTAAGCGTTCATGCCTTGACTTTCCTCCAGTTATACACACATTTATTCACTGTTAACAACAAGTCTGCTACTGCACATATTATAGACAGAAAAACCTGCACGTAATGTGTTAATTCAAGAATGTTACCTCCACTATTAAAATGAAATTAATCTTATTACCAATGTGGTTTTATTATTTTCATATTTATTTGATAACAGAGATGATATTTGGGGTTAGAAACACGGTGGCCATTGTCGATATATTATTTGTTATACAGAGCAGTACTGAGATCTGTAAGTTTAAATATATCTATATATTTAGTTTATATTCCCTGTTTTATATATCGTGTACAGAAGTTTTATAGTTCGAGTTGAAGACTCTAGAAATTAGCTTTAGTGAGTTAATACTCTTAGACGGACTCTGTCAGTCGACCCAGGCTCTTTTTTTATCAAGTCTATATTTTATCTATATAGTGGGTGGTTGTGTGATTTATGTCATAAGGTCTGGCATTGAATCAAGTGGGCGTGGTTTCGATTCCAAGATTTAATGTGCCAAGGAGTAGAGTGACCTGTAAAAAACATCGTTGGATTTCTCCAGTTTCCTAGTTTGTTTCGAGTGGACGTTCAACCTTACTTCTATCTCTTTTGTTGGTGTAGCCTATCCAAATATAACTGAACATGCAACGTGTGAACAAAACATGGAATTGTACGCGGATGGTGTTCGATATATATATGATAATGATAACATGCTGTGTCACCCATCAACATACCAAGTCGTACAAAACAGACAGCAATCAAATGTACGAATCCTTTTGGAGGGTTTGGCATCAGTGCCGTCTTGAGTAACGGGATTAAAACTGATATAAGCTGGAAATGTTCAGATGACGAGGGAAGTCCGTTGGAACACTGTCTGGTAAGTTCGAATGTCAGATATAGATTAAAACCTTTAAAGATACCATGGTTTTATCCAAGACCCAACAATTAGTCGTTATATTAATTCGTCTGCAATTATACTAATTGGTAAAATTCTGTAGTTACTGAGAATACAAATTACCAATTATTGCCTAGGGGGCTTGCGAGAAATGTTCATTTTTCTTCACTTAAATGGAGATTATAAATAATAAATACATAGTTTATTGCAGTAAGTAGGCCTGAGACCCATAGCTACAACAAAAAACATAAGGTACTGTTGTGATTAAAAGAAAAACGAAACAAACAGTCAAATAAATATTTGTTTACACATACATGGATAATTTAAAATATTATGTACAGTAGTGATTTAACGAAAAACGAAACTAGTGGACATATAAATATTTGTTTACATGCATGGATAATTTAAAATATAATTTGATACATAACTTAAAGCGGCATTAATAAAATGTGAAATTGAAATTAAACGAGATTTATTTTTAGTTGCACATAACCCCCTTGATTTTCAGTAAGTCTCGGCAT